CAAAAAAGCCTTTTGAAGCCGAAGTTTGTCATTTTCAGGCCATTTACCTATTGCTCCATTATGGGGCGAAAGCAAAGACAAAGGAAAAATCACATATCAATCTTTTCCCATCGATTTTGGTATCAAAATATACCTTGTTTTTCCCGCTTTTACGGTAGTTTGGTTTTCAATTCAGCCCGCACTTTCCCAGGTTGCAAATGGAGCGCTATTTATACTGCTGTAAACTAGTTGCCGGGTTGACCAAAAATAACAACGGCCAGACCACCATTTTTGGCAACATTGGTGCGACTAAAAAATGCAGACAGCTGACCCGGCTTGACATGGTCGTCTAATTTTGTTAATCACTCATTATTACAGAACGAGTATTATAACTGCACTCACTCCTCTTACCATTATCAATTTTACTGGTGCTTGAGTTGTGAATGTTTGTCATTTCTTGTTGAACAACCATTGCTACTTTAATTACTTAATTCAAAGATTTTTATGGTTGGAGAATGATTTCTTTTTCCTCGTCACTTGAAGGGCTGGTAGTTTCCTTTCAAGCATTCTTTTTTTTTCTGAAATAAACTAAAACCAGTAAGTAATTACTGCAAACCGCCATGCATTCTCTTTACATCATACGTGCAGTTATTAATTATTATGATTTATTTTACCTTTTTCCTCCTTGTGTTGACTCTTCTCAGTGGTCTGAAAAAATAAACATTTTATGTGTCACAGCAAGTACTTTCTAGCACCATGGTCACTCAAAAGAGCAACTTCCTGATTAATATACATCCTGTTATTTAGCTGCATGAAAGCTACACCACAAAAATGATGTACAAAACAGAAATAAAGTACGTGTACATTACAGTTGCTTCATAATTTTCATAAACACACCGTAAGTTTCTTTTTAGAAGGTCCATTTGCAGGAGCATTTGAAAGATGGACAGCAAAGTTTTGTGTTTTCCAAGTATAGATTTCATCAATCGGGAGAAAGATTGTCATAAAAAAGGTCTAAGTCAATTCTGTGCCTTCAATCATATCCCTAACACTCCTGTATAGTTATGAAATTATATCAGGGAGCACTATTATCCATATCAATTTGTTGATTTTTGCATGAATATTATTTATTTCAAACCTAGCTATCCTTACCATTCTAATGCAACAGATGACAGGAAAGAGTGTGGTTTCTTAATTAAACTGGGCAATAATTTTTGGAATTCAATGGATGGCTGCAAAAAAAGGTTTTATTTTTTAAGAAAGATAGCAAATAGCATGACAAAGACCTAATGATTTGTCCTTGCTGCAACCTCCTTGATGTGTTCCACATCAATAGCAATAATGATGATACCGGTATTAGTGAACTTATACAACAGGAAGGGAGAGGAAAGACGATGGCAAACCTTGTGTGACAAGCATGACTATAATTTCATCTGAAACTAGCTCCCACCAAACGTCACATTCCTTTAAGTAGATCTTGTTGTAGAAGAGCAAAAAACATCAGACTTCAAATTTTTTAAAGTCTTCATTCACTTACGCCTGATTTTTACAATCTCTGTCGTTTAGTATAACAAAGCGATCAGGAAAACCAAACAAACTTTGCATTTGAGCGGATGTGGTTTCTTGGGCATAGGGTTTCTGTATCGATGCAGAAAAT